TAGCACTTAGGAGGCAGAGGCAGGCAGATCTCTGTGAGACTGAGGCCAGCCAGGTCTACATAGTGAGTTCCAGGCCAGCTGTGGAGCCCCTGTCTCAAAAAAGAAAAAGAAGGGGCTAGAGAGATGGCTCAGTGGTTAAGAACACTGGCTCAATTCCTAGGTAGTACAGACTACCATCTGTAACTCAAGTTCCAGGGGAATCTAGAGCCCTCTTCCAGCCTCTGTAGGCACTTACACACATCCAGGCAAAACACTCATACACAAAAAATATTTTTTTTAAAAAACAGTAAAATAGCCGGGCACTCGGGAGGCAGAGGCAGGCGGATCTCAGTGAGTTCAAGGCCAGCCTGGTCTACATAGTGAGTTCCAGGACAGCTGGGGCTACAGGGAGACCCTGTCTCAAAAAGACCGAAAAAACAAACAAACAAAAAAAAAACAGTAAAATAAAATCTTCAAAAAACATATAGCAATGAGGGTAAGGGCAGTAACAATAGTAACTATAAAGCATGAGGCCCTATAATTAGGCCTGTCTCATTTCACTCACCCTGCAGGGTGATTTCCCACCTTCCCATCTTTCAGATGAGGTTCAGTCAATCAGAAAGCTCTGGAGCTGCTTAGAGTGAAGGAGCTGAGAGCTGAAGTCAGCTCTCTGGCTTTCAAGTCTGTTTTCTTCCCTCCACAATAGAGATACCCGTGGGCCAGCTGCTTCATTGTGGAGAACACTAGGCTTCACTGGGGTGAATTTGGGGCTTAAATCTTTGTCCATGAAGCAGAGGTTTCCAAGCAGGGCAGGGAGTGGAGTTTCCAGGCCTCTTGTTCCTCTAATGCCCCTCCAGGTTGTATTAGTCAGTGAAAAAGACAGCACACATTCTATAGGCTAACTGCTTTGAACATATAAACTAAGAGTCTGGATAGTGGAGATAGGGTGCACCGTAGCAGCTGCCCAAGTTTAGAAAACTCTGAAACCTTCCCACACCAACCCTGTGGGAACCAGGGAAGGACAAAGAACAGAACATGAGCAACTAGTTCATGAGAAGCACATGGCCATGACTGCTGTAAGCTTACTTTGGGTCTGGAGGTCCTTCCCCAAGGGGTTTCATGGATAGCTTGCACAGGGAGCGAAACACCAGAAAGGCATCCTTCTGTAGAATGTGAGAGAACCTAGCAGCCACTTGATGTCCTTGTACATCCGGTTCCTAGGATAAGAAACAAAGGAAAAATCCAGGGGCAAAACAGAAGAAATGCAATTACCTCATGGAAATTTAAATTCTTGAATTTATTCAACTGGGAAGAAAGGGGAAAAAAGGGCAGACTAGGTGTCACAGGGGCATCAGCAGAGCAAGTATAAATCTCATTTATTCCTTTTTTAAAAAAATATTTTATTTACTATTTTTATTTTATGTGTATGAGCGTATTGCCTGCATGTATGTGAGCGCACCCACGTCGTGCATTCCCGCAGAGGTCAGAACAGGGCTTTGGATTCCCCTGGAACTGAGTTAAGGACGGTTCGTAGCTGCCATGTGGATGCTGGGCATCGAACCCAGGTCCTCTGCAAGAGCAGTCAGTGCTCTTAACCACTGAGCCATCTCTCCAGCCCATCTCACTTATTCTTTAAAAAGCTGGTACGAGGGTAGGAGTGGTGGTGCACACCTATAATTCCAGAAGCCCGGAGGTGGAGGCAGAGGATCAAGAGTTCAAGGTCAAGGGCTGGAGAGATGGCTCAGCAGTTAAGAACACAGGCTGTTCTTGAAGCAGACCCAGATTCAATTCCCAGAACCCACATGGTGGCTAACAGCCACCTGTAACTCCAGTTCCAGGGGATGTGACACACTGTTTTGGCCTCCTTGGGCACTGCATGCACATAATGCATCTACACACATCCATTATGTAAAACACTCATACACATAAAATAAAAAATAAATATATGAATGAATTTGCCAGTTATAGTGGTGTATGTCTTTGGTCCCA